GAGCCCCATCACAATAATAATAATAATAATAATAATAAACAGAAAATATGACTTAGAGAAGATAAGAGAATTCTAAAACAAGAAAGTAAATGTATCTGTGAATTTCTTTTGTTCATTCCTGTATTTACCAGCTATTTTGTTTCTCTCCCCATATGGTTAGGTCAAACTCCTGGTCCTCTTGTGGCTCATGGGTGTGACTTGTGACGTATGGGTTAATGAATTATGTGTAGAAGAGAGGGTCATCACCCCCTTACAGGAGCTTTTAATTGACAGGGCATTTCCTTCCAGAGTACTTTTCCACTGGTTTGATAACTGCCAATGTTGTAAATAGTGGTCACCCTGTCTCTGACAGCAAGGTACTGAACCCTTAGCTGACCCACTGTAGATCTGTCTGGTGAAAAGTCATTGAGTCTTTGGAGTTGTTTTGTAATAGCAATGTCACATGGCTACTGTTGGCACTCTTCCCTACTTAGGAGTGTAGGATAGTACCAACAGGAGTAAATATCATAGGCAGAAAAGAAGAAGCAGAAGAATTAGGAGAGAAGGCATAAGGTGCACAATCTCAGAAAACCTCAAACTACTTCTAAATGTCTTTCATACAAACATCTCAGCTTTTTCTTGTAAACAAACTGTCCAGAAAATTGCAGTAAACATTTTTTAGAGGAACACAAAGTCATTCAGGTAGAATTCCATTGAACTCGTGGACATCTCATCTAAACTCTTCTCAGCACTTTCCAGCTGCCACAGAATGTTATTTATCATGATTTAATTAACCAATCATAGTAAGATTTAGCGTTACAGATAGGAAACTTGCTTACTCCATTAACTAGAACCTATTCAGTGGAATCTGATTCTGTTTCCAGATGAGAGATGACCTAGATAACTGAACCCTTGTCTCTCCACACCCTCATTATTTTACTTTAAGGTCATTAATTAGCTGATAAAGGTTTCGCTTCTACAGATATCATAGGTCTGTATCTCCGAAAGTGGTTCAGGGAGTCTGATAATACATAGTGCTTTACAACTTAAAGCAGAGCACTGTTTAAATTTTAGGAATTCTTGGGACAGTACAGTAAGTTGTAAGGTGATGACTGGCTAGAAATGGATTGAGATGCAGTTGCAGCTTGAAAAAGACCTTTGTTTCCAGCCACGATGCTTATGAAGGACGCCTCGTCTTTGTTGTAATGAGATTAGATTAGGTATTTTTGAAGGGATTAATCATGTCTTTGGCACAGCATAGAAAATTGGACAAGACATGAGTGCCGTTTTTCTTTTAGCTCTAATTTTTATCATGACCTTTAAAAAGTATTCTGCTCCAAAAAAGGAATGCTTAAGAATGAGTGAGAGGAGTAGGAGGGTGAAAGGGAAGGGGACATAGCAGTGTGATCAGAGAAGATAAACTGAAAAATTATTCCATACTTTGTAATTTAGTTCCCATGGGATTCTGAGCAGGTGGCTCCCATCTCTCTGACGTTTTCACCTTATAAAACAAGAAATTCAACTTGTCCTTTCTTTTTTTCCTTTGAGATTCAGGTGTCTGGCATATGGAAATATGGAGTTTAATTATAGGACCTCTCTGGGCTCAAAATGGAATTTCATCATTAAGAATAATGGCAGGGCTTGATTTTATTAATGAATGAAAGGATTGCTTGATGTGAATCAGAAGGAATGTAAGATTAAAAGACATGACATTCTATATACAACTGTCAGTAATAAATTAACATTAGCTTTCGATTCTATGTACTTTGCATCTTGAAATATTCCTAGAAATACTTAATAATTAGAGTTTAGGTCTCAAGAATCACCATAAATTATCCATCTGTCACTCATTTTTTGCTGAAAGCCACAAACCCATGTTATCTCAGCAGAACATAGACATATAAAAATCCATGGTGCTGTGATGTGATGAACACATATTTATTTCTTTTTGAGTATCCAAGTAAACCAGAATACATGACAACTATCTGTGACAAAGACTAAGAGGAGAAAGAGTAGGGATCCTGAATATGAGAACTGAGGTCTGCTGTAGCTACCCCTGCTCCTGTGTAAGTTTCAGCTCAGTTGTTTTGGATCTGATATGCCAACTGGTCTTAAAAATTCGCTCCTGAGGAGTGCAGGCAATCCCAGCACTTAAGCAGCCCTGCCTTCAAGGTTGAGGTGGAACCCACTCTAGAGTTCTAGCCTGCCATTGTCAGGACCTGTACACGAGGATGAGAATTGATGATGGTGACATCTAGTGGCCTGTCTGGAGTGTGCAGTCTACTACCGAGCACTCCAGTGGGAAGTGGGATGTTCGCCTGGTCCTGCTAACCCAGTCCTGATCCCTGAAGCAGCCTAAGAGTTTGGCTTCCACTGGAGATTCTCTGCACACATGTTGATTTATGGTTGGGATCCAGGAACTGCACCAGCAGGCTGGGAGTGGAGGTGGAGAGGGGCTGCTTTGGAGGACGACAGGAGGCTCCTTTCAGTCTGGTCTGCATATGCCACAAGCTTGTGCTGCAACAAAACATGGCTCAGTGGGGCTGCGTGATAGAGCAGGGAGCTCGTCTCTGCCAGACTGTCTCTCTACTTTAGTGCAGAATGGTTATTGGAATGCTCAAGCAATTTGCAGTCGCCTTAGTCAGTAAAGCCAGACTCTTCTCTGCAAGAGGAATAAAAATGAGATTCTGAGGCCTCCAAAAGGCTCTCTCCTTTTGCCACTTTATCTGCCCAGGAGTCAGGGAGTAGCACAGCTTGGTTGGGTGGTGACTATTTGCTATTCTCCAAGCCCTTTTGACAGGTAATACCACCTGCTTCTGAACAAGACAATCTGATTGTGATAGGATACCGGTAAGTACTTCCTGGAGAAGTATTTTCCTTAAAGTCATGATCTTTATTGATGAAAGGGGCAGTGGAAGAAAATGAAAAGAAGTAGAAGATGAAGAAAAGCTACCAAGAGGAGAAGTAGCTGCTAATCAAACCAAGAGAGCCTCACTGAGGGGTAATTGTGGCTTAAAAATATGTCATTTGTTATTGTGACAGTGCCTCTTTCTTTCTTTCTTTCTTTCTTTCTTTCTTTCTTTCTTTCTTTCTTTCTTTCTTTCTTTCAGGGCTGGTGATCAAACCTGGGACCTTCTGCTTGCCAGGCAGGCACTTATACTGCTGAGCTATCTCCCCAGCTGACCATGCCTCTTGAGGCGATAGAATAGAAGGAGCAGCCAGCCTCACCATCAGGGGCCTGGAGTTCTACTCCTTGCTTCTTGAAGACATCAGTGAGTGGATGACAACAAACAGCAAGTATTCTGCCTTCTAAGGTCCTCCAGCTGTGAGTTCTCCATACATTGGAAAACCCAGCATGGGAAACATTGTGTAGAGCTTGGCATTTCCTTGGAAAAAGGAAATGAATGAAAAAGAGAGGGGGCAGTGCACATAATACCTAAAGAAAGTTCATGCCACAGTTTTTGTGCCCTTTCTGGCATCATTGTAAACTCCACTGAGCCATA